CCAGCCGGCAACGCTTGCTGGGCTCAGCACCATACACGAACAGGCTCGACCCTTCGTCACTCTACATGTACATAGTACGTTAAATAACCATCCATATATCATATACTTTAACAAGCAGCTATACCTACTAACATTTAACATTCCACAACATTTAAGTTACTCAAATGAAAAATTAATAGGAGTATTTACGGTAACTTGCAAAAAGTCGTCTCATCACCAACGCAAGCGGCACTCGACACTTCTAAAATAAGAGTTAACGAGCATACTCACCGAACTGGCAACAGAGTTACGTAGGCGCGTTACAGGTGATCTCGAACAAATGTATCTGGTCCCAATCAGTAGCCTGTGAGATTGGCTTTCGTCATATTTTTTCGCCGCCAGAGCCTAAATGTAATGAGTTAATATACCAACTTTTTAAATGTCATAGACCACCGGCATGCATCCCGCTGTTCGACGAGGACGACGCTCTCGAGTACGACTAATTACTGGACATACATAGTACATACATTCAACATATATTTCACATGCTTTAGTGACACCTTTGAGAACTTCTCAATAATTTTTTGATTAAATGTAACTACTGTGTTTTATAAGGACACAATTATCAGATGTGCCCTAGACCCCAGGTAGTCTATTAATTACATTTCCAAGTACAATAGATAAATGATGTGTTGCCAATTGAAATACGTATATAGTCCAAAATTCAATAAGAAAACGAAATAACACGAATATGATATGAATCTACACAATCGCATCGTTGTATGTACTTACATCATTGCCTAAATCAATAGAGAAAGGGAATTTCCGGTCTTCTTCATCACTGACATCTGCAACAGGCAATACTAGATTATAAAAAAAAACGAAAATTGCACTTTTATAAGTAGTACGACGAAGGTCGACTTCAAAATAGCAATAATTATACAATAAATTATTGCCTTCTCATAAGTAACTTATAGGTAGATTATAATATATTGTCGACTTCAATAGAAATGAAAAATTAATCTAAACAGCTTTAAATGTATGTCTGTAATCACAGGTTTTTTACAAAACAAGCATGTTTCATCATCAGTTTAAACACTAAAACTTTCCAAGATTAATCATAAGACAATTAGTGACGAATATAATTTCTCGTTTATGTTCAATTCGGCTTTTTACCATTAGTGCTGTCTTTCTCTTCGGGTTTCCAGGAATTAAGCTGCGATTGCTGGTCATCGCTCCAAGCTTCGACGACTTCCTCCTCCTGTAAATAAATATTTGAATAAAACAAAACCCAAATACTTGATGAATCACTAAGCTTTCAGCGTACTGTCGACACTATGTACTATATCTGGTACAAACCGTTCTAAAACATACAATTATAGGAACTTAAAGCGAATTTTAGCGATAAGGAATAAATTTCTGGTGTTTTTGAATGGAAACCTTGAGGATTTCTTCAATGTTATTTACAATAGTATCGTTCGAGATGCAATTTTTTTTTCATAATATAAGGTGGCAAGGAACGAGAGGCCACCTGAATTCGCCGAGAAAGTGATCGCTGCCCATATACATCTGCATTTGCAGATGCGTTGCCTACCCTCAAAGGACATATTCCCTTTATATGTGTCTCGTCCATCGTCAAATCCATTTTTCCTTCCCATCCCTTCCGTATAAGAAAATGGTGGGAAAGAAAAGGGACTAACATTAGGCCCTCGGCACCACACTCATCAGACGAAACGCGGAATTAAGTATAACACCGGGCGAGCCTGCCCATTCTTGCGAAGATGTTAAAAACAGTGGTAGCGACACCACTGTTGAATATAAATGTACCTATAAATAAAACATCATCATCATCACCAGCTCACTATACGTCCCCACCGAGGGGCTCAGAGCCTACCCTAATACGGGGTGACTAGGCCATAGTCAACCACGCTGGCACAGTACGGGTTGGTTGACTTCACACATATCTTTGAATTTCTTCGCCGATATGTGCAGGCATCACGATGTTTCCCTTCATCGTAAGAACGTCGGGTAAATAACGTACATATGAAAATTCGAAAAATCGAAAATCACATTGGTACATGGCGGGATTCGAACCCAAGACCTGTAGATTACAAGTCAAGTGTTCAAACCACTGAGCCACCGACGCTCTAACAGCTTCTCTTATAAATAATCATATAAAATAAATAGCTAAAAGCTATAAATAGTTGTTAGTTTTTTTCTTCCCTATTCATTTAAATAAAACTACGAGTATGAAGAAAAACACACCGGTAACAGTATTGTCCAACAAGCAATATTGTTTTCGTAATAATTTCAAAGCAAGCACCAATATTTACATACGTCAAGCAAAAACTTACAAACCATTCGAATTATTATATTACACCGCTAATATTGTTAGTTATTACATAAAAATATCACTCACACGAACTTATGTCAAATTTGGCAAAAAATTCAACTATGAAGGAAAATATGTGAAAGCTGGAATTTGTGTTAGAAAATAAACTAAATGTTGAATATGTCTTATAAATTATGGCGAACGAGCAAGCAGTTCACCTGATTTTTAATGACTACCTCTACCTATGGGTAGTAGTAGCAACAAGCAAATGACGTGCGTTGCAGATGTGTGGCCTACCTTTACTTCGGACAGAGGAGTGGGTGCGTACTGGGCGAGCACTGGTAGTATTAAAGGCACTCACGTCAGCCTCACTAGTTTGATTGGACACAAGCAGCACCAAGTCGAGCTGGCGGTGGTATTGTAAACTCCACGCGATGCCGACCGGGCATGTTGTATACGCCTGGATAGACTGCTCGCTGAGTCGTACCCAAACACCGTCTTTGTTCTCCACCTTGACACCGACAGAAGCCAATATTTGTAGATATACTAGCCTTTTAGCAGCTGCTCCGCAAGCACAGACGCCCTCGAGTACTCGAAGACCACTTTTCTTATCGTGGGATCTAGTTTTCTCTGCATGAAACATACCCTATGACTTCAACCTATATCCTGTACCCCTGGCAATGTGTATGCAACACTTTAAGATGATTGGCTGAGTAGTTATGGAGTTAAATCGACACAAACTTATATTCGCATTCATTATTGGGATAGGAAGTCTTCGCAGCAGCTGGCGCATGAAATCTCTCAATCAGACCATACCATAGACTAATTAGACTTACCTGTTAGTAGGGGAGCCGAAGCAGGGACTATGGGCTTAAGACTCGGTATAACCTAGGGCAAAAATCTTGCACCCAAACAATAACTTCTACCACTTATTGAGCAGTCCATATTCGCACGTTTCCGGCAAATGCCATGCAAACCGACAGAGTAATGTTTTCCGTTATCAGAAACACATTGGCCATAAAAATATTAATATCCAATCCGGTCCAGTATTTCTATCAAACCGTACACTCTCTTCGTCCCTAAAAGGGCATTCATCATTCAACCTATTTTTCCTTTTATACTCGTCAAATTAAAAAATATGCCCGCAACGCTCGAGTAAGTCCTCATTTAACCTCTCGGTCTCCCCTACTATATAATTATAATATAAAATATCCAAATACATACGTATCGATTGCGGTTTGCCTTCTATATGAGGTAAGTCTTATAACTTTTTTTCGCATCTTAATTCAATACAATCCTCTTGCTGACATGTTCTTCTGTTTATTAAAAATACAATCTTAAATACTCGTACTAATATTGGTTAAACTGCTTGCTCGTTTTCTTTTTTTTTTGTAAATAAAATTTGAGCAGCAACAAACCAGTAACATAACATTAAAATTATATGAAAACATTTTTGTTTATGCCATTTATCTCACATTTTTATATCCTACGACAAGAAGAACAGAAACATGCGCAAGCTCTAATTTACCAATAATTTTCTATCCATTAGAATCTTTTCTTTATATATTTTAGTAAAATATTCCTAATAGAAGAGTATTGAGGATTAGAAAAAAACATTTGTATCCCATAAAAAAGCGACATCTTTCATTATGTGATTATTTTATAACTATTTGCAACACCAATATAATGGAAATGCATTTGCAATATTACCAAACATATTGAAGCATGGGGGATGCAGGTAGATAGAGGAAATAATTAAGGGGTGTAAATTTATAGAAAATAAAACAATACTATAATATGAATGTGTGTTCGATAAAATCAACTCGGTTAAACCCGACGTCCTATCAACCATTGCATTAAAAATGCTGTTCGTACCCTATGCCTTCAAAAACCACTAGAAAGATTTTGATGAAACTTGAATAGGCGATTCGACGACCGCCACAATAGAATTTTGCTTAATTTTTTTTCTGGTACTAAAACAATTTTTAATATTTTATTTATATATTCGTGTAACGTTATGTTGTCTTTGGCATTGCTGCGGGTCCTGGTTTTAGGTAGTAAGATAAATTTATTACCTCTTCAACAAAGCCAACGTTAGAGTCTGGTGGTATACATCCGACTTCCTCCGATTGCAGACTGGGGCTGGAGCGGACACGCAGCCCGGCGCTGTTGTTGATACCGAAGCGACGCAGCCGTGACTGCACTTCCTCCACTTGCACATCGAGACCTTCATTCCCTGACTCGAATGGGTTGTCTTTGCTTGGCTCACCCGATAAATTCACTTCGAACATTGCTTCCTGAAATAGAACATTAGTATATTGATTTAATTAATTAATACACGGCACCGATTAGTTTCTGAACCGTCCAAGCTCGCATCCCTATTTTAACTACCAAAAACCAAGTAAAACTATTCCAGTGGTAAGTTGCTGTTGAATTCATTGAATTGAACGGGTTCATCGAACCAAGATGAACGTTTACTATCAATTTTTGAGTTGTAACGATGGGAACGAGAGTAGCATTTTACCCGACGTGCCAACTCATATATCAAGTGGTATAAAAATATGCTTACAAGATTAGTTGGTACATGATCCAAGAGGCAGGTGCCAACATAGTCCCCGGGCTCTTGAGGCACCCAAGTTGCAAGGTACGTGCCGTCGCTTTGAGCATTCACCATCATTGGTTCAGACATCATGGTTTCTTCATCATTGCCGTATGCCGGGTTGTTCTCTTCCCACCACAAGCCACTGGCCAATCGGAGCTCCTCGAATGAATAATTTTGGTAGGACTGTAAATGATAAGTTTTTGAAATAAGGCAATTAAAAAAGAAAACACAATTTACTCACATAATGGATAAATATAAATTCCTATCTATCCTCAGCCCCATCAAATCACCCTTCGGAGAGCAAGAGGCAGAGAACTAAATAATCATCTAGTTAAGCGCAGATTAGCTCCACTTCACGCCATCTATGACGTCTCGTGGTAATACACTGATGGAGGCGGCGAATTTAGAAACATTTTCCTATTGTAAGCTCAACTACAAAATCAAATCCAACCTGCATCATAGTAATAGAGTGGTAGCGTGCACTATCCCGAACTGTTGTCTGGTAGGGCACGTTGGGCATGGTCTCTTCTTCTTCGCCTTCCATGTGATATCTCCTCTTGCCTCCTACATTATTTCTTAAGCGGAGGACAAGAATCTGCAATTAATATAGACAAATTAGAAAACCGTACTAACATCCTAAATGAGAAATTTTGGTTGGATGGATATTTGTTATTACATTCCAAAATGACTTATCGGATCTGGGTGAGATTTGGTACGGATAACCAGATCTTAATCTACATTGCTGACAAGTAATCTACAAATAACGATGTTCCCTTCGCCTTAAAATATCAGATAAATATGGTAGTTCGAAAATTAAAAATCACCAGTGATAAATTAAAGATGTAACTACACGGAAAAGCTATAATCGCTATAAGTTTTTATTCTCGTGATATATCGATTTACCAAATCAACTCCCCCACTAATTAGATTCGCACACGTTCAAGGCCGACCTGTAGCCTCGTGACGCGATGTTCGCTACTACATGCTTCGAAAATTAAAGCTCATTTGAAAAATTATTCTTTGAAATTGGCATCTTTTTAATAACGCAGTAACGATCTATGAAATAATTAATGCTTATACGTACAAAATGATTGGATTTTTTTGTTAATTTTTCCTCAAACTAACTTTAGCCAACGACTAGAATAAAAAAACTCGTATGATAGATACCAAAATATTTTGTTTTGTTTTATCTTGTCATTTTTAATTGTTATTTTGAAAGTAAGATATAAAATTTCACCGAAATGTTTTACTGGGATGAATTTAAAAAATTCAGAATCAGTACGTTACCTAAGTATTATTATATGCAATTACAAAAAACTGGAAGTAGTTTATTAAAGAAATGGCGTTAAACTTACCTCAACTTTAAGCGATGGGGAGATAACAAGGTCCCCGTACTGATCGCGGATGATGACGCTCACATTGATAGGGTAAGTTGGTTGTGTGCCTGAACTAATTATCTTCAGTTCGCATTTTGAAGGATCTACATGAGGCATGGGCGCCAACCAGTGAGCAAGACGCCCGCCTGCAGTGTTCTCAGCACCCGCCACGAAATCAAGCAGGAACTGTTTTTCAGCAGATGTACTCCTGCACAAAGAGAGAAAAAATCTCCTGTTAATCAGAAAAATAGTCTACTACGTAAGACTATCTAATGGGGAAGATATTTGAGACAGAGCAGTAAAAAATCATATTATAGTCAACTCTGCAAAATGTAAACAAAGATTAAGCTTCAGAAACTTGTATACGAGTCTGGCCTTAAAAATTTACTAACACGTATACCTCCGTATGCTTCCGGACGAGAATCTATGTATACGTGTTTTGAAACCAAAGGCCTAGACAAGTTTCTAAAATTTTATAAATGTATATATTTTGCAGCTGACTGTACTGCTAGTGTGTGAACAGACTGTTATTGTCAAAACAATAGTAATCTGTCTCGACTCTTGTGTATCTTAGTCACTGTTCTGCCCTTCTGTGATAATAGCATAATTCAGGTTAATTGTTATCAGTCTAGTTCTGCACCGTACGTTACCTTTAAATAGAAAGCGTAGGCGTTATGCAAAATACATATAAAGAAACCATAGCTTGTTCTACGCGGAAAACTCACCCGTCAGGAAATATTAACAACGTTCTAATTGCACTAAAGGTTAAATTAAAATGCAATTTCCAGCCTTATTACACTTCCGTAAACACAGAACGAACAAAACTAAATTACAATATCTTACGATGTTAACAAAAATGACACTGAAATCGCGAATTCTGCTTACATCAAACGAATGTACAATAACAAGTACAGGAATTTTAAAAAGGTATCTAATTAAAAGTATATCTCCATTTTAATTAGAAGAACAAAGAGGTTAAGCGCTTAAAAGTTTTTAACTGGCTGTCAACGTAGGTAGCAATTAGTGAAAATCTCGGCCAGGGGACCTTGAACTGGGAAACCAAAGCTGCTCATAGTTTGCGTCTCTGGGAGAGAACAAAGCATAGACCTATCTCACTTTGTTATAACGAGAACGTCTAACTGACCAACGCACTATGCACCCTTGCACTAATCTTCTGTTAACTACCCGCCGCGACATTGTCCGCGAAAAATAAATTATTAAATGATATGTTTCGAACTGTAACCTCATTTTGTTCCAAACATCCAAATCCGTCAAACCTTAATAAGTTACGCGGTAGCAATATTTTACACTAGCTGTTCCCGTGCGACACCATCCGCATAAAATTATGAAAACTTTAATTTTATTGTATACATGTGTCAAATTATCAACTGCAAATGTCAAAATGACATGACATGACAACCATGGCAACCATGCTTCCTTAATGTTGGCAGCTTGTAGTTTATGGCCTCTATCCCACATGACGGTTTTTTTTCAATTTATTTATCCCCCAATTTAAAATAGCGTAAAAATACATAGCCTAAAGCGAGTCGTAAGTGTAGGGCTTTTTACTAAACAAAGAATTATTCAAAAATATGCTGTGAATGCTGACATCCTACGACACAAAGAAGTGTGTGTTTACGCTTTATTATATTATTATATTATATTATATTATATTATATTATATTATATTATATTATATTATATTATATTATATTATATTATATTAGTATAGATTAATAATATTAGTAAGAAGCAATGACTTTTCACTAATCAATCTAAATTTTATTAGTATTAAAAATGCAAAAGTTTAGTTGGATGGATGGATGTTTGGTAGAGTTTAAACTAACTTAAACTGCTGATCGGAGCTTGAAAATCTTGGCATAGATGTAGAAGATAGTTTGGAAGAACAGAAGGCTAATTAAGTTTTATTTTTTAATTCTGTGCGGTCGAAGTCTCATGAGAAATTTAGTGAATTGTGTTTAAAAAAAATTAAACTGTGTTTCATTTTGTGCGCACATTTGGCATTATTTTGATTTATATTCGACCTTTGATATAGTTAATTTGTACTCTGGTATTGTAACGTAAGCTGAGTTCTACCTCGTTACCTAAACAATGCATCTCCATTAAAAGCTTCAAACTTTGACCATCAGCTAACTAGTTTGTGCACCTGGTATCTACGAGTATTTAGCAACTCGAAATTGAATGTCTTATACCGAGATGTGTACACGGTTTTTAGATCTATTCTTTTACTGTCACTGGTGAAAGTAAGGTTATTTTCCTTTAGTATGTAAAAAGCATATATTCTAAGGCTTGTTGCATTTAACAGAATTCTTACTAACTTATTACACAAATTACTACTAAACAAAATGTAAATAGCTATAAGAAAACAACAAAAAAAAAAGGATTGTAAAAAAAGAAATCTTCAGGAATAAAGGCTTTATTATTATTATATATTACTAACATATTAATATGCAGCATGTTGCCTTCAAAACAAATACCTCTATCATATATGGTATTTAAGCAGAATAATTGAGACGCAGTTATAATAGTTTAAACTTACGAAGATGAGAATATCTTTCAAAACCGATAAATAACTTTAATGTTTTCAGTTGAAAATCCTATGCATCCGATATTAAACGTAGGTATATTAAAACTAGCGATCGCTCGCGACTTCATCCTATGGGCGCTTCATTTTCTAATGTGGGGATAAAATTAGTTCGATTGTTTTACAATATATCCAGAGTTTATATATTTCTGGTCCGACATTGACCTAAAATATGGCCACGGGCAGACAGACAAGCAGACAGGCAGACAAAATTTAAACACCGTATTTTCGTTGTCTGCAGCACAAACACAAAATATGGATCTTTTTCGATTTTACATTAAGATATTCCAATTTTATTAACTCCATGGGAAATAAAAATTCACCTATTAGAAGCCGGGACTAGCTGCTAGTACGAAGAAAGTATTTACAATAGGTATGCATCGTTTTTGAATAAATTATTATAGGTTATATTGAATATTAGAGAAGTAATTTAAAGGGCGGCAGTGCGTTGTGGTCGTTCACGGTTATGGTGGCCTACTTATTAAGATGGAGTGCGGGATGTGTGTAAGTGCATCTGTGTCTCGTAGGGCCGCTACTGCGCGGGCTCGACCTTTGTATCATACATCATAGGGATGAGACAAAATCGATTTATTAATTCCTTTTTAGAGAATTTACAAAAGTTTTGTCGTCAATATTATACAAAGCAATGTAAACATTTACTTAAGGCTTAAAACATTTAATCAGTCATCTTTTAGAAATACATATATCAAAGTTTTGAGTTTTCATGCAGTTTTTTATCACGTAATGTTAAAATGTACATGTATAAAATTACATATATTAATTCTTTGCTACCGACTACCGTATTGTTTTTTTTTCATTACGAGTAAACGTTGTAAACCGAATAGTGGGTTAATCCTTAAAATTATAATTATTTCTAAGACTAGTGATTGTTTTCGATAAAAGTCGCAAATAAACACTTAATCCTTAATTTCATACTCAACGCAAATAGTCTTAATGGTGGTAATTAACAAATATGCAAATTATAACAATTAAAAGAAATGAATGTCGATAATTGGTTTGTACCGGCGCTATACATCCCTAGAAACAGAAATCGGCGGGCGGTAGCCGAACGGCGGAGCGAACGGCCAGTCGGTGCATGACAGCCGGGGAGCGCGGTGGTTCGCGCGCGCGCGGCAACATGTCGCCTACAGCCGCGTTACTTGTGTTCCTCGCACTCTCAGTGGATACCGACGCGAGAGCCGAACATGTCTCTATATGCGACTCCAAATACTGCGCCTGCTCCCAGTCCGAGCATCCATCATGGACTTCGGTCAACTGCACCGTCCCGGCTAACCAGGTATTCGGCTGCTCAATTGTTTACGACACATGTGTCACGCTCACGCATACGAGAACACACTCCATTAATATTTGTAACACAAAACCGGAACTTAAATTTTTGTGGCTTTAAAAATAATATTGAAATCCTTTATATTTTAAATAATGCAGACAAACACGAAACTCTTACGTTTATTATCTAATTGATAGCAAATTAAATGTTAAATATTTAATTAAAGATTAAATTAGTGAATGCAACAAATGGTTCGGGCAAAAGGTGTCGACTTGCCGCTTTAATTAGTTCAGTATCGGTATCTGGGGCTAGAATTTATTTGGCAACACGAACTGTCCATTACTATCTAATGTTATATAAATTGTATACAATAATACTAAAACCAAATAGTTAATTTTCGTTCAAATAAGTGTAGGCGAATAAAGTTTGTTGTATAAAGTTTTTTTCAATACCCACTTATTATTGTAAACAAAGACAAAACTACCTGAGGGTCGTTGGGGCGATTGTACGCGGTCTTTAGGGAGCTAGTGATATTCATCCCGCATCGCATCTGGCGCAACAAGTGTCTTGCCGCGCCGCCAATACAATACAAGTCTTCTAACCACGGCTTTTATTTAAAAAAGTTTTGATACTTAGTCAACTTTTATAAGTAGCTCTAGTTCTTAAAAACAGCTGTTATATTTAGACAACGCCCAGATCTAATTTAAGTAGTACAGTCATTAAAGTTCGACTAATTCACGTTCATGCGACAATGACAAAGCCGAGTGATAAATTCTCTTTGTCAACACAAATGCTGCGATAAAAGATTTGTAAGTGAACTATCAGTCAATTGACGCTGTCAATAATAAAATATGTTTATGAAATAATTATTAAAATAATATTGTAGAATTAAATTGTACAAATAACCTACTTTTATCTAACAAAGCTATTCAAAACCTAGACATTACGAGAGAATACCTCTTCTATTTGGGTGTTGTTTGTAAATTGTAGGTATGTTTGTGTGAATGACCGGCATATGGTGGCCCACGAGGTGGAAGGAATTTTCATAGTTTAAACAGTCGTTGGGCAGTTCAGAAATGATTTGGCCCAAATATTCTCGTCGACTAGACTTCTGTCTCGCTCGTTTTTACCGTAGACGAATAGGACAACAGTCTCGAATGTAGAAGTCTATTTGCGTCTGGCGTACTCGCAAATTTGTCTAGTCTACATATAAAAATTACTAAATTGCATGATGGAAATTTTAGTTTTTCAACAAGTAGGTAGCATTAAACAAAATCGTCATTATACTATACAAGTCCTTTTTTTAAGGTTTTGACTGTAGTTCTTATAATGTAAAAGTATATTGGTTAATAATTATGTAAGCTATTTACTTCCGGTGCTTT